GACTTTGCCCAGAATGCAAGAGGGTTGGAAAAGTTTCCTGTGGCAGAAAGCCGGCATGAGCAAAGGCCTGGGAACTGAGGAGTGGCAGGAAGGTTGTGAGGTCCAGGGGTGCTAGGTAAAAGGCTTGGATGGCACCCCAGAACCATATGCCCTGACCAATCATGAGGGAACTGCCCATGGCCCCTGGAGCTCAGAGGGCAGGGCCTAAGCAGGTCTCTTCACACTCTACCACACCCACTCCTCGGCGTCCATAGGAGTGACCGCAGGGATCACAGGCCACTGGGGGAGGGCCTCGGGCTGGAGGACAGCCCTGACCATGCTCCTGCCTGCTCTCAGGGACCAGAACAAGTACAAGGAGGCTGCCCACCTGCTCAATGATGCGCTGGCCATCCGGGAAAAGACACTGGGCAAAGACCACCCTGCCGTGAGTGAGGGTTGGGTGGCAGGTGGTGGGGACTGCCCTTCGCACCCTGGGTCTCCCAGCTTTTGGTCCTGGTGGTAGCACCCCACGAAGGCCCTGGAATCCTGTCCAGCAGGACCTGGGTCAGTGAGCCTCCACTCTCCCCCGTCCTCAGGTGGCCGCGACACTGAACAACCTGGCGGTCCTGTATGGCAAGCGGGGCAAGTACAAGGAGGCCGAGCCACTGTGCAAGCGGGCACTGGAGATCCGGGAGAAGGTGCGGCAGGCCGGGGGCCAGGCAGGCCAGAGGGCCAGGCCGGCGCAGGCCGGACAGCCCTGAGCCCGGCCCCTGCTCTCTTCCACCCAGGTCCTGGGCAAGTTTCACCCAGATGTGGCCAAGCAGCTCAGCAACCTGGCCCTGCTGTGCCAGAACCAGGGCAAGGCTGAGGAGGTGGAATACTACTACCGGCGGGCACTGGAGATCTATGCCACGCGCCTCGGGCCCGATGACCCCAACGTGGCCAAGACCAAGAACAACTTGGTGCGCAGGAGCTGGGAGGGGCTGGAGGATGGGGAGGCGGAGGGAGGGATGACGGTGGCGAGGACGGAGAGGAAGATGCTCTGTTCCCACGTCTGCTCACCCCCTGGGTCCACCCCTCCAGGCTTCCTGCTACCTGAAGCAGGGCAAGTACCAGGATGCAGAGATCCTGTACAAAGAGATCCTCACCCGTGCTCACGAGAAGGAGTTTGGCTCTGTCAACGGTGAGTCTGTGGCTGCCATGTGTCCCCGGCACAGGCTCACTCTGCCATTGGCACTGGGCGGGCCCTCAGGCCTGGGTCGGATGGGTTCCAGCCTCGCCTTCCAGGGCTGCTGGCCACTCGTGTTCACCTTTGCATGCGGGAGCACACGCCCGACTCGCTGGCCCCTTGACCTGCCCGTGCCTCATGTACCTGGGCACCCTGTGCTCTTGGCCCAGGTGTGCCCCCTTCTCTACTAGGCAACTCCTGCTCACTGTGCTCCCGTTCCCTCTGGGGAGCCACCCTCTGATTCCCATAGTCAGTCATTTCCGGCTTCCGGATCCCTTGGAGCCTGGCCCGCTGGGCCTGGTACGGATCTCAGGCTGTGGGCTGAGGCATATAAGGGCCCCTCGCACGGGCCTGTCTGTGCTCATCTCTGTGTCCAGAGAGGGTCTATTTCTTGTTCATTCATTCAACAAAGCTCTACCCTAGTCCTCCTCCCCAGGCCTCAGTCCCGTGCTTAGCCCAGCCGAGAGGCCCGTGTGGCAGGTTGGTGACAGTCCCCTTTCTCCACTCAGGGGACAACAAGCCCATCTGGATGCACGCAGAGGAACGGGAGGAGAGCAAGGTAGCTCTGTGGGGCGGGGCTGGGCAGGTGAGCAGGGAGGCTGGGACATGCAGAGGGAGAACCTACTCCTCCCGTGACCCAGGACCATTCTTTCCCCCAGGATAAGCGCCGCGACAGCGCCCCCTATGGGGAATATGGCAGCTGGTACAAGGCCTGTAAAGTAGACAGGTGAGGGCTGCTGGGCTGGGCTGAGCAGGACAGGGCACGGAGCGGATAGCTGGGACCCGCCACCTGAACTCCACACCCCATACTCCCAACCCTGGACGTACCTCTTTGTCCAGCTCACCAGCCATCTGTCCCAAGAAGGCTGTCTGCACTGGGACAGCCTGATTCTTGCTCCTGGGTCTCCCAGCTTTTGGTCCTGGTGGCAGTACTCCCATGAAGGCCCTAGGGTGGGGTCCCCAGCCCTGGGGTGATTCCTCCAGGAAAACAGAGGTCAGGAGGGCCTAGCACAGGGCTTGAGACATGGAAGGGGCCAGATTCTCATTGGCTGGAAGGCTCCTCAGGTCCCAGGGTGCCGGGACGGGCCCTGAGTCTAGGGGAACATGGAGTTTTGAGCCTGTCCCATCCACAGCCCCACAGTCAACACCACCCTGCGCAGCCTGGGGGCCCTGTATCGGCGTCAGGGCAAGCTGGAAGCTGCACACACGCTGGAGGACTGTGCCAGTCGCAGCCGCAAGCAGGTGGGGCTCCGTGCCGGAGAGGAAGGGCGGGGGCCCCTGTGGCCCTGTGTTTTGTCCCAGTCAGGGCCTGATGCCTCTGCCCCTGCCCCTCTCAGGGCTTGGACCCTGCCAGCCAGACCAAGGTGGTGGAACTGCTGAAAGATGGCAGTAGTGGGCGGGGAGACCGCCGTGGCAGCCGAGATGTGGCCGGGGGTGCCGGGCCTCGGTCTGAGTCTGACCTCGAGGAGGCAGGGCCTGCGGCCGAGTGGAGCGGGGTGAGTCTGCAGGCTGGGATGGGCGGGGAGCCGGAGGAGCCGGGGCAGTCTAGACACAAGCCTGTCCACCCACAGGACGGCAGCGGCTCGTTGCGGCGCAGCGGCTCCTTTGGGAAGCTCCGGGATGCCCTGAGGCGCAGCAGTGAGATGCTGGTGAAGAAGCTACAGGGGGGTGGCCCCCAGGAACCTCCTAACCCCAGGTGAGCCCCCATCTGGATGAGAACTCCCACCAGGGTGAGCTTCAAGAATCACCCAGCAACCCAAGACGAGCCCCTGACCCAGAGTGAGTCCTAACCTCTCAAGCCTCACGACCTGCCAAATCCACTCCTTCCCCAGCCCCACCCTGCCTCCTGCCCCCTGTCCCCTTCTCCCCACAATCCCACCTTGGGCAAATCCCGACTGTCCTTCTCCCTCAGGATGAAGCGAGCCAGTTCCCTCAACTTCCTCAACAAAAGCGTGGAAGAGCCAGCTGAGGTAGGGGTGGATGGGGTCTGGGCACCGGTCACTGGGCCAGGGCTGCATGAGTCCCTGCTCAGCTTCTCCCAAGCATGTCTCTTCACTCAGCAACAAGTTCCTGTCTCCAGCCCAGGCCTACTTGGGGCTGGCCCGTGGGGAGACGGGTGAGGGGGACCCAGCCCCCTTCCCAGGGGGTGGACATGTAAGTGGTCAGTGCCAACACAGTCATCGTGGAGGTGGACAGGAGTGTGGCGGCACCAGGGCGTGGCTCAGGGACTCTGGCTGGGTTGGGCCTCTTGGGCCAGGGAAACAGACTGGCCCCAGCATGGAGGCTGAGCCGCTGTCCCCTCTGCCCACAGCCCGGAGGCACTGGTCTCTCTGACAGCCGCACCCTCAGCTCCAGCTCCATGGACCTCTCCCGACGAAGCTCCCTCGTGGGCTAATTCTGAAGGGGCAGCCAGTCGCCAGAGCCTCCGCCCGGCACAGCCCCCACCCCAGCCCTGCGCATGGGCCTGCTGCTTGTCCCGCCGTCTCCCCCAAGGCCCCCTGTCTTTTCTGTTCAATCTCAGGGTAACCTCCTCCCCGTTATCTCAGCCTGAGCCCCGGAGGTTGGGCCTGCCCACTCCAGCTCTATCCCTTATTTATTCCTTTCAGCAGGGCCCCTTCTTCCCTAGGCTCGGGGCCAGCAGGAGGGGCTGGCTGGAGTCTCCAAGATGGAGGGAGACTCGGGAGCCCTCTCCCGACCCGAGCCAAGAACACTAAGCCCCCGCCGCCCCCTCAGCACCCCTGCCCGTCCCCCCACCCCCGGCCGTTGCTTCTGTATATAGAGAAATAAGTTATTGGCCGCGCCCCTCCCCTCGATCCACGGTACTACCCGGCCTCCCCTCG